AATTTAAAGTTGTATATATAGCTAGTTGTACTCTTATATATGTAATCATTGCTCAAAACTATCTATACCAATAAAAATCTCACTGATAGCATATTTATCAAGTAAAAAAAAAATAAAATAAAAAAAAAAAAAAATAAAATTATAATTTTATAAACTAAATTATATCTAGTTAATCAAATATAAAAAATATAACTCTATATAAAAATATAATATTATATAAATAAATCTTAATAAAAGTAAAAATATAGAAAATTTATATAATAAAAATTCTTAAATAATAATAATAAAAATATTTAAAAATAAGGTCTGATGACCTAGTATAGTAGTTAGATATCAGACTAAGAAGTATAATATAATATTACATAAATAAATCTTGATAAGATATATAAGCAGAGAATCTATATAGTAGAAATTCTAAGTTAGTGAAGTAGTATAGCTTTCTAACAGAACTATATTAGCTAAAGTCTGATTTGAGAAGAAAACTCAGTCTAATAAAGGTAGAAAGTTTCAAGATCTCTGAGCAAAAGGTAACCAGAACTAGCTGAATACTAAAAAAGGACTAAGTTAATTAAATAGTGAAGGACTATAATAAAACCTAAAGTTGTATAAATATTTACAAGTGTCTAAACTAGGTGAATTTGTAAAATGAGTACAGACTGCTCTAGTAGGTTTGCTTTGAGATTAACTAGCTTTGCAATACTAATAATATATCTGAACCTAAGCTACTCTAAATAAATAGATCTATAATAAACTAGCTAGCTTAAGCAGTTAGATGTTATAGTAATATTAGGTTGAATCTGTATAGGTTAATAAACAAAGTATTTAAATAGATAACTTACAGGCAGGTTATAGATATAATAGTATAGTATAGAACTAATTAGGTAGTTTAATGCCTGTGTAGTAAACTACTTTTTATTTTTTTCCTTATATAACATAGTATTAGCTAAATTTTTATTAGTATTAATAGTAAGAAATGATTATATATTGTGAGAATATAACTAGCTATATATATAACTTTAGATTATCTAATTAAATAGTTCATCCAAAAATTCTATACTAGCTGCTATATCTAAAATTTATTTGAAAATTCCTTATTTAAACTCTTTGGCTATATACTATGTTACTCATATTCTATCTTTTTTTACTTAAATTCATCTAACTCTATACTACTTCTATTTTTAGAAGATATTAACAGAGCTAATATATATCTACAAACTTTATGATTCAAAACCTAAGTTCATCTCAGATACCTTTTTACTAACTTTCTAATTAATAGGTACTATAGAACCTAACTATACTATGCTATATTCTAATCTAGCTTGCATATACTCTTGTTTGATGTTTATACAAACCCAGTTTCTACTATAGCTTTTCACTGAGTTAGTTATCTGTACCTCTAAATATCATATAAGATAGGCCCTCTCAAATCTAGTTACTACTTAGATTAGTATTGCCAAAAGTTATCTGTGTCTCCAGATATCATATAAAATAGATTCTCACAAATCTAATTAGCTGCTAAACCAAGTTGATATTGCTATATGACTTCATGTAATAGACTTATATGTATTTATTTTACTAATCTTTTTATATACAGGTTTTTAATAAACTTATTCACATTCTAGTCACTAATCTTTTCATACGCAAATTTTCTTTCTCAGATTAAATATTAACTGATATAACTGTTGAAATCTATACTACTTTATCTAACTCTAGATTTCTGCTATGCAGATTCTCTGTTTATAGATTCTATCAAGATTTATTCATATAATATTACATTCTTCAGGCACTTCATCATATTTATAATATCTGAATGATATTAGTACAACATGATTTACAAAATTATAACCTCTAAAAACAAATAGAGTTTACTATAAGTTAAATACAAAAATCTAAGTAATTATTTAATTCTGTTGACAGTAGGATTTGAACTCTAGATCTCTTGTATAGTGATCTGACAATTTAACTACTACACTAAGATCACTAGATTTCATATGTTGAACTACTTAAAATAGATAATAACTAAAGTTGTATATATGGCTTGTTGTTTACTCTTCATGTAATTACAAACAGTAGAGATTATCAATATATAATCTCATTTGCAATATTAATAAAATTCCTTCAACAATATAAGCTACTTTAACAAAAAAAAAAAAAAAATATTTAAAAATAAAAATTACATTTTTATAATATTTATTTTTACAGGTATTTAAATATATATTTATTAATTTATATTTATAAATTTAATTCCACTTACTAACGTTAATGAATTGTCTTAATATTCACAAATTAAATTAAAGTAAATAAGAAGGGTATTGATTAAATTAAAGTAAATGAAAAAGATATCATTTCCGGAGCAGAACAAAAAGCAGGAAAAAGTCAAAAACAAGACTAAGAAACAACAATAGAGTTACTAATTAAAAAGAAAGAAGACAAAAAGTTACAGATAATACAAGAAGAAGAAAGAAAAATAATAATTTTCTAAAGAATAATAGAAGAATAAAAGAATTTTAAAAGAAATTCAGAAAAATTTTCTTAGAAAAATTGAGAATTGTTGTTACTCTGAATTCAGGGACCCAGAAAAATTTGTATCCAAATTTTTCCAAATTATTCCAAATTTTTGCATCAAATCCCGAGAATTCAAAAATTTTGTACTTAACTCAAATTAATCCAAATTTCAGGCTAATTTTTAGAGATGCATGTAATCTGGCCAATAAAAATTGAACAGAATACATGTGATCTGACTAATAAAAATGTGTTTGTAGTATATTATATAAATTATTTAATTTAATTTGGATTTTCTTTGAATATCTGATCTAATACTACGCATTGTACATACTGTATCAAGTCTTATAAATAAAAAATTCATAAGAGAGAGGAAAGACTATATTTTTTTTGAATACAAATGAATAAAAAAGAAAAAAAAAATAGGGCAAACCAAAAATATTACCGCTTCTAGTCGTGCACAAGAGTTTTCAGAAGACTTTGTTGCAGATTCTGGAATCCTTATATACTGTTTTTGTAACCACAGGATTAATTATTATAATAAAGCTTTTGTTATCTCATATATTAGTAGTAATGGTCATATAAAAAATCATGAAGCTTATTTGAAATCTACAAATAAAACCTATCAACAATACCTTCAATCATCTTTAGCTACAGCAGATAAAAAAAAAGAAATTATCTGTGATCTTGTCATGACATGAGTTGAGACTAATATACTAATAGAGAAGCTTGATAAGTTTCATAGATTTTTAAATATGTATTGTAAGGAAGGTAGTTTTATTCTTTCTGCTGATACTTTACATTAGTTATATTTGCCAAAAGTTTTTGATAAACATTTAGAAACTTTATATCACATATTTAATGACAAACCTATTGCTATAATTATTGATGAAACAACGGATATTATAGGCTGTAGTGTAGTCAATACATTATTTTCTTATTAAGGAATAACAAAACTTGTATCAGTTGATTATTTGCAGCAAGTAAATTATTCTATAATTAGTAGACTTATTTTATGGCTTTTAATTGAGTGGAATATTTCTTTTACTCTTCCAAAATTAATTGCTACTGACTCAGCTTCCTATATGAAGAAATGTTTTTGTGAAGCTTTAAACCCTATTATGCAATAATTAAAACATAACACTTGCTCTGCTCACATTATCAATTTAATTAAATAATATCAAAAATTATTTATCGTTATTATTTTTGAAATTATATAATATTAATAAATTTATTTTTTTTTTGTTATTAAGGCGGCTTACATTAACGAAGGAATTTTATTAGAATTGCATACGGGATATACATTGATAGTCCCTACTGTTTGTAATTACATGAAGAGTGTAC